GTAGGGAATGTAAATAAGTATCCTTCGAAAAACGCTCTGACGATGTTTTCACTCCTGGTTCAGAAAAGTGATGACATGGAAGTTGAGAGGAGTGATATTTTAAATTTGTTTTAAAAAGAACAAATCCGCTGTCCTTCCTGGTGAGGCACAGATTTTACTTGTTCTTCATTTACCACAGATTACTACATATGTCAGTTTCAATTCAGTTAAATTATATTTGTACAGTGCCAAATCACAACAAAAGTCGTCTCAGAACACTTTACAAAGTAAGGTCTAGACCTTATTATTATTATCATCATTATTATTATCAAGGAAATATTCAACAAATTCCTCTTGAGTAAGCACCTTGTAATAGTGGGGAGGAAAAACTCCCTTTAACAGAAGAAACCTCCGACAGACCCCGGCTCTTGGTGGGCGGCCTTCTGCCTTGACCGGTTGGGGTGAGTGGATAGAGGAGAGAGAAAAGAAAAGAAAAGCAACAAGACACAACAAACAATCAAACACTGGGCAGGTTGATGTGGCTGGTGACTGCTCATCAAAAACATAGAGCTCTAGAACCAGGGCTACCTGCAGAAATGGTACAATTGAGCCAGTAAAAGACATTAAGTATGTAAAAACAAAACAAAAAAGTTCGTTTTACATTCATGTCTTTTTCCCTGTATGTTCCATCAGAGCCCTGGAACCGGAGGCTTCCTGCAGCAGAGGCCTTATGACATTTCAGAAATTTTGGATGACACTTGCATGAGCTTTCAGGTAATAAGATCTTGTACAATTCACTCAGTTGTAAATGTAAAAGAACTCTGTGTGCCGCCTTTACTAGAAGCTGATTGCTTATGGATGTTATAATATCACAGTAACCCTCTTTTTCTTTGGCCACTTTAAAGCAGAGTTCCCAACTTGTGCTTGTCAGCATTGAATGTGGGTCAGTGTATATTGAAACACGTTTCAAATAGACCTACTATACTAGTCAGGATGAAGTTATTCCAAATTGAAGCATTGACGTGAGCTGTAATCATATTGTCAGCGGTTTTATTTAGGGTTTTGACAGTGATAGATTTGTTTTAACAACATCTGTTTTATTTTACAGAGTGAAGTAACAGACTTTCAGGTAAATTTTTTTATATGTGACTTAACAACACTTCTATTTATATACTTCCTGACAAAAGTCTTGTCCTATAAGGACATAGTAACCTAAAATGCCATATAATTTTATTTCTAATCATTCAGTTGTCACAATAAGTTGTTAATTTTAATGTCAAGGGCATTCACATTAATAACTGGGTGCAAAATTAAACCATCAAAAAGTTTCTTGATGGTCACAGCTTGGTAAAGCCCATAACATCTGTTTCTGCAAGGACAAAAGTCTTGCCGTATCTTTAAAGGATTCAACTAATCACAGATTAGAGCGTCACCTGTGACAAATACTGTAATTAACACATTCCCAGGTGTGTATAAGAACCCCAGCACACCCAACCTTCATTTGAAATGCAACCTGACCTCTGACAGCCTGCCAAAGATTCAACCACAGACCAAAGTGCTGATCATCAAGAGCCTGAAGACCAAGTCTCCTGCTGAGGTGGCAGACATCTTTAATGTATCTAAATGTCAAGTGGAGAGGATAAGAAAAAGATTTGAAGAAACTGGTGAAGTTCATGACAGGCCCAGGTCAGGCAGACCCCGAGAGACAACTGTTCGAGAGGACCGTTTGTTGCTTCGACAGTCAAGGGCTAGCCATTTTTCAACTGCAGCAGAGCTACATAAAAACTGGTCACCAGAAACCCCTGTATCTACAAGAACAGTTTGTCAAATTCTCTCACGTGGTCTCAATGGCCGAACTAGTGCCCAGAAACCAGCATTAAACAGAAGGCAACTAAAAAATCGTGTTGCATTTGCCAAGGCCCACAGCTTGCAGGAAGGATGGACAGTAGAAAAGTGGCAGAAGGTTGATTTTTCCGATGAATCATCTATTGAACTGCATCCCAATCGTCGCAAATACTGCACAAGACCTACTGGAACCCGCATGGACCCAAGATTCACACAGAAAACAGTCAAGTTCGGTGGAGGTAAAATCATGGTTTGGGGTTACATTCAGTATGGGGGTGTGCGAGAGATCTGCAGAGTGGATGGCAAAATCAACAGCCTGAAGTATCAAGACATTCTTGCTGCCCATTACATTCCAAACCACAAGAAAGGGCAAATTCTTCAGCAGGCTTCTCATACTTCAGCCTCCACATCAAAGTTCCTGAAAGCAAAGAAGGTTAAGGTGCTCCAGGATTGGCCAGCCCAGTCACCAGACATGAACATTATTGAGCATGTCTGGGGTAAGATGAAGGAGGAGGCATTGAAGATGAAACCAAAGAATCTTGATGAACTCTGGGAGTCCTGCAAGAATGCTGTCTTTTCCATTCCAGATGATTTCATTAATAAGTTATTTGAGTCATTGCCGAGACATATGGATGCAGTCCTTCAAGCTCATGGGAGTCATACACAATATTAATTCTTTTTCCACGGCACCATGACTTTATGTTCTGTACTGTACATTATTTTGTTATGCAACAAGACTTTTGTCTAAGCAAAGTCTGACCTTTCTGTCCTAATTAAATAATTAAAAATCAAGGAATACGATTTTATTTAGGTAAAATAAGCATAATCTAGAGGCCTTTGCCTTTCATATAAGCCACTTCTGATTCCAAATGATCAACTAGAAGTCAAGTTATTATTTGTTGTTCCTACAACTTGGATAAGTGACAAGAGTTTTGTCAGGGAGTGTATTACTTCACTTTCTCCCCACTCACTTGTAATGTTTTAATAACACAGCACCCAAGTCTCAAAAGCAGTGACACAGAGAATTTCTCAGTCAATGTGGATGTTGATGAAGAGGATGACATGTCAACTGACGATGATGATGATGTGAGTGCTTTTTATTAAGCCACTTTCCTACACCCTCAGAACATGCAGTAGTTTTTCTGTCCTTCTGTATTGTCATAGATTTGGCTCCTTATGTAGTTTCATGGGAACAATAACGCATATTGGCCACTCACAACAGTGGCAAACAGACTTGTACCAGGTCAGGTTTTTGGGGGTGAATGAGAAATTTCAGGAAGAGGTACCAGTAGAACGCTTGCTATATTCAGGTTTCCACCACAGGAATTTAAGGAGCCATAACTTGGAGCTCCCTATACCTGTAATCTGGCGGGCTGGTGTGATCCATTCCATTTTGCTTTTCCACTGTATTTTTCCCTGTGTCGGTCACTGTTTATATGAGGGTGGGGATGCGCTCAGCTGAGCACAGGGGGAAATGCTCCAGAATCACACATATGAGCAAGTTTATTCATCAGTTTTTGAACAAGCAAAATGCAAAATTTGTACCTTTCAAGTTAATGTGAGGATTCATATTCGGAAGGGGCTAGATGTGATGGTTGGGTCTCTGTGAAACGGGTCGTGGTATGTGCACAGCTGTTATCCATGTGGCTTGTAGCCTACAACTCGCTAGTTGTGTTTTTAGCATCTTACACCAGTACCTACTATTTATGTTTTGTTTGTGTGTGTAGTTTGTTCATTTAGCAGTACAGCAGTAACCTACAATAGATATCCAATCACCTTCAGATGTCAAACATTTCAAGTCATGCTCTGTTCAGCGGTGGATCTAGAAAATTTTGGACAGGGTAGCCAGGCTGGGCACAGACTCGGAGAGGAGTTGCACATTTGAAATGCATGTAAAGGGTAAATTAAACCCCTAATTCAATGAAATAATAAGCAATATATTATTAAGAATCTAATAGTTTATCCATCCATCCATCCATTTTCCTCCGCTTATCCGGAACCGGGTCGCGGGGGCAGCAGTCTAAGCAAAGATGCCCAGACTTCCCTCTTTCCAG